TTGCTTCTCCCCGGCTTTGTTAAAGATCATTGTTTAAATATCCAAGTAGTCATCATAATAGATGCATAGCTTGTTTCCCAACGGATTAGTTGAACATCATTGTTGTCGTAATTTAATAAAGATATTGAATTATATGATTAGATTTGTAAAAGTTTGTTTTTATGATGATTTTTATCTAATTTTATTTTAAAAGCGTTGATTTTAGACTTTTGTAAAATATTTTTAGTAAGCCTTGATTATTTTTATTTAATTTTATTTTAATCGCGTTTAACACTTTATTAGAATTATAAAAGTTGATTATCGTTATCGTAAAGTCATTATGATGCGATAATTTGTAATTTCTAAAAATGTATTTTTATCTTATAATTTAAATTTGAGGCATGAGTAAGTGCTTTATAATTGTAAAAGAAGATATTTTTAGATTGTTAATTTTTAATTATTTTTTTTAATTATCATTCGCTTCCCTACAAAGGGGAAGCGAAATTGTAAATTATCAATTTATATTTTTTTGGTTGTAAATTTTGTATTAGATTTCTTTGCGATATTATTTTAATAATAAAGTTTGTTGAGTACATATTATTTCTGTGTAGAGATGTATATTAATTCTATCAGTGTAATACGGCACAACGTTAAAAATTGTCAAGATATATCAATAGTATTTTAGGCGAAATCTTTCATGTCTCCTGACCGGAAATTTCGATCATATCATAATCATAATTTTTCAGATCACCTTGCCCTGGTAATAAGAAATAAGAAATTTGACTTTCTGTCCATGGGAGGGCGCTGTTGGATTCGTCATTGTTACGAACTTCCCATAAGAAACGTGGCATTTTTGTCCAAGGAAGGACGCCGTTTAAATCATATCACAAATATAAATAAAGAAATGTGACTTTTTTGTCGGAGGACGCCGTTTGATTCTTCTCACCAATAGCGGCCTTTTTGTTAATAGGAGAATTCCATTTGATTAAGAATAAAAAATTCAGCTATTTTATTTATAGTAGGTTGCCGTTTGATTTGTATTATCTACGAATAAGGCCAAATATACCACTACGAATTATCATATTTTGGAAAAAGAATTTATACACTCAATATGATTTTAATTTATTTCAAATTATATTTTTTAGATAATTTAGCAACATCGCGTCATACCTCTAAACAAGGATTTCAAATAATAGAATATATATATTCTATTCAGCGATTACATTAATAATTATATCCCCAAATAATATATTTCCTCTAATACAGCCAATATCAAAAAATTTCTCTATAAAATTTATTTTCATTGAAAAATTATATTTAATAATATTCCAAATTTTCGAATATTTATTATTTTACTTTGTAATATAATAATTTATAATTCCCAATTTTGGAATATTTATTATTTTATTTTTCTTTAATAGTATAGTAATTCCCAATAATAAATTTGCCTAGTAGCGTCTTGTTCTCCGTTCTTTTGATCATGAAGGGAAGTATACTCATCTTAAACGTGATCATTTACCCGCATTAATAATATAGTGTTAATAACATTGCTATATTTTCACTTCACTCCAAAAATTAGATCCTGGTAACGGCACCATTTTCATGTTGAATATAAAAGAATAAATAACTATTTATTATAATATGACTTCTTCAGATATAATTTTACGAATAAATTAAAAAAGTGATCTTTTTACTTCTTTTTCAATGTAATAATAATAATAATAGTTCGAAGTTAATAAAGCTGTTAAAAAATATTATTTACAATGTGAATACAACAGCCGGATTATTTTTTTCAATAGAAAAATTTGAAAGTGAAAGTCAAAATTAAATTTTTTTAAATATTTTATTTTTTAAATTATATTATGATAATTTAAAAAATAAAATATAAAAAACGGTTATAAAACTGGAAATGTGACCACAAAGTTCCAATAAAAAACAACCATAATTATATTTTAAGATATTTTTGAGAAATTCTTTGTATTCTCATGATTTAAATTTCGCTTAAATTATGACAAATAGAAGAAATGAGGGTTGTTATAAAGAACAATATATTTAATTTAAAGTATTCTATTTATTTGTCTCAGAAATATCATTCAAAAAAAAATTATACCAGGCAGCGTAAAATATTTAACGAGGCGGGTAATTCGTAAATGCAGATATCAAACACAATTAATTTATAAAACAAACGCTCTGATAAAAAAAGTCAAATATTAAAAAAATATGATGGTCGAAAAATTCTTACAAAATTTACGAGTTGGGACTTTTCTTTGATAATTCTTTTGGCATATAAAATTAAATCACGATGCAAACTAATATATAAAAACACATAAAAAAATTAATAACAGGGAGGCAGTGAACAATTCCATGCATTTTCATTATCCAAATTATGTATACTAGTAGAAAGCTCGTCATAAAGGACGGGAAATGAGATTTTTATTCATTTTTTACGATAGATGTCATGCCAGGCTCAAGCTCACAATATTAGGAAGCATCCAAGATCTTATAATTTTAAAAAGGTTTATCAAGCCCAGCTCAACCATTAATAATTTGTAAAAGATATTCCCAAGTCAGGTGCAAGCTAATATTAATTTTGAGGTTTCAAGCCCAGTCCTACCCATTATAATTTTGAAAAATTATTTCCCGCCTCGGAGATAGTTAAATTTATAATTGATTTATCATCACATGAAGGGGAAATATCTGATATACCAATTAGTCTAATATGGAAAAAAAAATACATATTTCTTATTAAGGGAAACTGGGAAACCCTGGGCAAACCACTTATTAGAGAATCATGACAAATAAAATAAAAATAACCGACTCTTTTACTTTTTTGTAATATGATCAATTTAAATTATATCTAAAAAATAAATTGTTGTTTATTATATAGGGTTATTGTTGTTTTCAGATAAATTTAATGTATCTTGCATTTTTGAAATTATTTGTCAAAGAATTTGATAAGGGATATATATATTTTTATGTTAAGTAAAAAAAAATGATATCTATTTAAATTACAAAAATGCCATTAAACACTAATGAAACTTATATGTAAATTATTTATATATTTTTTAAGATATTTTTTTTTATTGACATATAAATTTAGGATAATTTTTTAAAAAATTAATGAGGATTAATTATTATGTATTTGATAAAATTAAAAGCAAATCATTGTTGACATTTTAATTTTTGATGGAAAAAGCGACAAGGGCGGTCGTCTGGAGAGGAAATAATAAATGTATAATTTTATATCATTTAGAGTTGTAGATGAAAGTAATGACGGATTAACAAAGCAATGTACAAAACATATTACGTCCTGATAAAGATGATATGCCTATGCCTTGGGATACTGATAAAAGAAGAACACAAAACGATATTTCTGTCAATGTCGGCATTGGTATCCCCCTCTAAAATAGTATCATGAACGACAATGTTAACTCAATCATAAAACGGTCGTAAGTATTGTTATAAAGGCCATGACAGAACTACTGCATATTTTTCCATTAATAAAGTTGATGAAATTGGTCGTACTGTACATTCAAGTTTGAACATTCATCTAAATATTCATGAATATCATTTGGAGAACTGGGTGAAAATAAAATAAACATAGATATAAATCATAAGATAAAAAAAACTAAATAAACCTCCAGATGAGTTCATTTCAAGCGTAGTTCTTTATTATTTTGTCTACCAGTAACTCTAGAATGGGTAAGGCGTTTGTTTAATCGTCATTATTTTCTTTGCTTATCTTTAATAATAGATTCATCATGTTTTGTAGCAATGTGAGGGATTAGGGTTAGCCTAGACAAATAAAGAAATCAGGTAAAAATATAAATAAACTATTGTTGAAATTAAACAAACATTAAAATAATGTAAACCAGTAGATGGGTTAATATTAGATACATATTTCTAGTAGTTGGAGGGCTATCATCAAAAAAAATTTTTGGGGGACTTATCAAGCCTATTATGATATTCTAAAGGTTTATTACTGAGTTAGTTGATAAAGATATATTTTAATAGTAAGGTAAGAATTAGAAATTTTTATTTAGTAAGAAAAAAAGGTGTTATTAAATATATGTATATAAGAAAGAAATAAGAAATAGTGATATAGGTAATAGAAGTAGACTAAAAGGAAAAAATTGGTAATTTGAGAAAAGATTTTTAAATTAAATTGAGAAAAATTAAGATTTGATATTTGTTAGGTAATAGAAAAAGAAAGCAAACTGATAAATTGATAGAATAGAAGGGAAAAAGCTGACAATTTAGTTTAAGGTTAAAAAATAACATGATGAATGTAATGTTATTAAGATTAAGGTTAATTAATTGTAAGGTAATTAAAAAATAAGACTAAAAAAGGGGGGAAAAAGAAGGTATAAATTATTATATTATAAAAATAATAAAAATTAAATTAAAGGAATTGATAAGGTTTTGAGAAGTAGTGGTTAATAAATAATAGAGATAGGAAGAAAAGAATGAGATAATAAAATTTAGTGATAAATAAATTCACTAAGGGAGGGGAAAAAATAAAGAAAGAGTTATTTATAAGGATTGGAGATTATAAGTAGGTTAGGATAAGAATATTTAAATTTGAATATACTTAATTATCTTCTTAATTATTGGTTATGAAAGAAAAATATGAGTATAAAAAATTGTGATGTAAGTACTGACAAAAATTGTGAGTATGTTCAAAATAAATATATAAGTTGAGTACCTTGTAGAGGAAAATTACTTTGTGTAATTGATGACATTGAAATTTGAATTATTTTTTATTCACATCATCTATTTCATTCATATTCAGAAAGTTAAGGGAATATTATTTATATCAATTTAACATCATCCATTTTTCCGCAGACGATTTTTCCAATCCAAAAATATTTCCATCTGTTTGTATAAAATAAATAAATAAAATCAAAAATAAAAAAATAAATACGTACCGATGACATGACGTCACGATGACGTAGTGAGGACATCGGAATCGCAAAATTATAATATAGATAATACTAATAACCGCCATCTGATATTGAAAAATTATTTCGTTTAATCGATGTTAAGAATATTGACCATTGATTTTTCAAATTTTTATTATGGATCGTAATTACCCAAATCCTTTTCGTAAACAAATAAAATTTTATGGAACCCCGTATGCAAAATTAACTAACAAGGTCTCACTTTGGGTCTCCCTCGTATGTACTGGCATATTTGTCGCATCTTTGTAAGTCCACAAGTGAAAAATATATGTAAAAAGAAATATAATTAAAAAGAAACAAATGAATATATACTATTCTAAATAATAAATCCATATATATATTTTTTTTAATATTAACTACTTATTTTATATGCAGGGCAGGATTATATTATTTTGATTATAAACCTGGTAAAAAGGATTTAATTTATCTTCCTCTATTAAATCGTGATCCTAAAATAGTTGATTATGCCAAATTTGGTCTTGAACCTCCTTCCCAAAATGAAAATTAAAAATTTATGATTATTATATTATGAATAAAGATATTTTATACGAAAATGATCATTATATTGCAATACAACTAAATAAAAGAGAACAAGAAAAATTAAATGAAGAAAAATTATCAGAAAAACTATTCTATGCATGTAATATATGCTCAAAAGATTTGTCACATATGGGTTCTACATTTAGATATGATCATATTCAAAAGTAATTTTAAAATTTTTTATTATAATTTATTATGTTTTGATTAGGTGCCTAAATTTATATCATGTTAAAGATGTGCAAAAATTAAAAGATTTGGAACAAGATTATTACACTTGTCCAATATGTGGAATCAATACAAACAAGTGCCAAAGTTCTTTATTAAAGCATATAAAAATTTGTTCTAAAACTCTATGTATCAAATCCAACCAACTGATACCATTGATTCAATTAAAAAAAGATGAACAACAAAATCTACAAATTCAAATTGACAATGCTAAAAAAGGGTTTGATTTTTTAAAAAAAACATGTTAATTTATAATATTTTAGAATATATATATCCCCAACCAAACAGAAATTATCCACAAACAACATTAAAAAGTATTGCTAAAAATTGATTAATTACATTTTTTAGAGACATACAGATATCAAAATTAGAGGCCCAGCCTGGATTAAAAAAAAAAAATTAATTTTAGGCCTGAATCGAGCTTATTTTTAAAATAATTTTTTGGTCAGGACCTTCAGATCATTAAATTTTTGGATTTGATGAATCTTTTAGTAAGGATTTGAGATTCGGTATAAGATTCATTAAATTTAATTTTATTTTTAAATTATAAAGTTTTTCCCTTCTTTAACCCTTAGATGATGACCAATTTGTTTTGTGTAATGTATATTATTACTTTATGCACAAATACCATATGAAAAGGATGGTGCATAATTCTCTTTTTTAAAATTTTTGATTTACCCAATTTTTATATCCAATATAACAAAAAAAATTTAATATTATGTTTTATTTTATTATTCATAATCAAAATTTATGTATCGTGAGATGTAAGGAAACTTAAAAGTGAAAATTCCTATATTTATATATATCTTTTTTTAAGATTAATATTTAACAAAAATTCAAATTATCTGACAAATCTTTAAATATTTTGGTTTTCCTAAATTTTTTTTTTTTAATTTAATGTCCATTAATATATTAAATTGAAAAAATACATGAATGAAAATTATGAATTGCATAATAGATACAGGGCTATAGCCATGTGGGACAGCTCCCTTCCCTACAAAAAAATTTTTTGGCCCCCAAACCTGACCCTCTATTTAAAAAAATTATTTAGTTATTAAATTTTACCATTAGCAATTAAATCTATAAAAATAAAGCAAAATTTTTTATAAAATATTGTTTGTAATTTGTACAAATTACAATTTGAAAACTTGAGAATAATTATTTGTTATATTTTTTGTGGAGAAATCCAAGAAAATTTATTACGAATCATTAATTTACTATGTCTTTCTGCTGAAAACATTACTAATTATATTTTAAAGCAACTTAGTGAAGAATCTTCAGTAATTTAGTCACATTATTGTTTTTTTATAATGCGGAGTAAGAATTTATAAATTTTTTAATCAAAAATAATATAATTAGCATAATTTTGGGCTAATTTTGTAGATTTAAGGTTTATATTAACCCTATATTATAATATTAATTATAATTAACATATTATTAAAAACACTATAAATTTGTTTAGTTAGATATTAAAACTAGATATTGAAGTGAATATATTAGCAAACAAGCTATATATATAAACATTATTCATATTATCAATGATTATAATATTTTCATATATATTCCCATTTAGAAATTTTGGTTTTTGAAGCTATTTTAAAAGGGAGGCCTATTTATTAATCTTTTTAACATTTGTTAAGATGAAATAGAAAATAATTGATAAATTGTGTTCAAGCTTATTTTAGGGTAGGAATACCTCAGTTTTAATAACTATTATTAATTGATATTACATACAGGGATAACTATTCTCATAAAGTTTATTATAATTAATTATTAATGGCCTCGTTTATAGTAAGCTTAGATCATTGGGTATTTTTCAGAAGCAAGCAAATAATAGATAAAACTTATGATCCATAGCGATGATTTTATTCATTCTATCGTATCGCGCAGTCATTTATAAATGTTACATATTATTTGCGTAAAATATTTGGCATGTGTATCGTATCGCTAGATTCATGCTTACTAGAAACGAGGCCTAAATCCCCATATATAGTAATCACGTTATTTCCAAGCGTTGCGTTATTTAACGCTACCGAATTCACAGCTGATTATAGCGTTAATAATTTTTGGAATATACGCCGCAACCTATATTTTTCAAATTTTTCATAGCATTATCATCATAACTCCCCATATTTACAAATTATACTTATTTATTGGCTTGATTTTGTAAATAACGCTTCGTTGAATAGCGCACTGTTTCAGCATAACGCGCTTACTATATATGTGGCCTAATTGATGATAATTAAATAGAGTATCATACATAATACATCATTGCTTAACAATTTTTAAAAGCGCCAAAAAATTGAAATTATCTAAAAACCATTCGGATTATCAACTTCAATTAGCTCTCACTCTTTCCAAATCTCAATACGAGCATTTAAATTCTTTTCAGAATATCAGTGCCCGCGAAAAAAAATCCAAGGAAAATAATAATTTTTTATTAAAAAATATATCAAAAACCAGCGTAGTGAATTACCCTCAACAACAGAGACTCATAACATCAAGATTGAACGATATAATTGAGAAATCTATCATATTTAATGGCGGAAATAATGTACACAATAATAAAAACAATACCAATAATAATGTAGCTTACTTGTGGGACCTGTCATCATTATCTGACGAAGCTATTTTAGTTACAAATCATAACTCAAATTCCAATAATAATATATATACTATAAATATGTTGAAAAATAAAATTATATTTACAGATATTTTGTAATTATTTTGGCATTTAATTAAGATAAATTTTGTTTACTCATTCATGTCCCAGAGAAATAATTTTTATACTTGTATAAACTTATCGGACGAGGATGATACAATAGCAGACGATAATATTATAGATAGCAAAACAGTTGATGATAAATTAATTACCAAGGAAAATTGTTATATTAAAAATATTCCAGAAATGCTAAGTGTTAAAAATACTGATAATTCTTTGGAACATTTCAAAACAAAATCTATGAAAATGGGGAAAAACTTTCATAACATTATTCAAGAAAAAAACAATAATATCGACATTATTTGTGATAAAGTTTTAGATCATGATAAAATCAAATCTTTTAGCAGTTTATTTAATTTTTCTTTGCCACTATTAGATGATACTAATGATGATAATGTGATCCAACCACAAGGATCAATATTTAAAGGTGTTAAAGCAGCAGAAGTTTTTAATTCAAAACGGGATAAATTACACATTCGTGATAATAAATTTGATTTTATCGAAGAAAATAAAATAGATTTAAATAGCAAATCATCCGACATTTCTTTGCTTGGTGAAGATAAAAAAATATGTTTAGCCTTAAATAACACGAGAACCATTGATTTGGTAGAAATTGAGGATGAAAGTACTGATAATGTAATTCCGTCAATTGTAGACTGTTTCAAAGTGAATGAAAATTTGTTACTTACGATGCCAACAAATATTTATGCAAATTCCCTTAACCAAGAAAAACACCTATTCGGTAATAAAAATAGCCCCTCTGCTGACTATAAATTCATAGCTTCTACCCCTAAAATTAATAGAATAAATATTTCAAAAAACCTTATAAGGACCGATATAGTTGGCATTTCATGCGATATACCTTCACCCAAAGATGCTCTTAAAACTACTCAAAATATGGATAAAATTAACGATGACATTTTTAAAGAAAAAGAAGTAATACATTCACGATTTAGCGAAACTCTTCCTAAAAATGGCAAAATATTGGCCGAAGATTCAGATATCGCTATAATTGATCTGCAAATGGATGGATCGCATCTTCTATATGATCATAACAAATTATATGCTCCTAAATATAATAATGGCGTGGGAGAAATACGTGCCAATGCAGATCCAAATTTGATTAAGCCTTTTGGTGATAAGTTTTGCTTGCCCGATTTATCAACTGAATCTATAAAATTAGGGAAAATATTTAACTATGATCAATCCTTACAACGCGATAATTTAACGGAAACGATTGACAAAACGAATAATAAATATATGATAGAAAATGACTTAAATCTTAATTTAGACCCTACACCTTTTAACAACAATTCAGTAATTATCTTGGGAGATTGTTATCAAAGACCAACTTATCGTGACTTAGGTACAAATACGAATACCAGCAGCCCAATTACTAAAAGACGGAATTTTATTGAGACCACCCCAACTAAAAATGTAACTTTAAAAAAATCCCCTAGCGAAATAATGGATCTTAAAAGTCATCCGGGAGGTAATTTGTCAAAAAAGTCATCAAATTTTTTATCACCTATCGAAAAAACGGCACTTCCATTTACACATTGCACCAAGATCACGACCCCAAAAAAACGCATTCATAAAAATACAGATTCTTCCATCAAAGATAAAAACTCGAAGGTTAATTCAAAGATTAAATCTCCACAAAGGATTGGTCGCAAAGAGTATCACGTAAAATGTTTGGGTCTCTCCACGCCTCAATTAATTAAGGAGGCCTCTAAATACGGCGTTAAAAAGTTTTCCCGAAATAAATTGTGTACCATTTTGACTTATATTTATTGCCACATGGATGGGGAACCAACATTCGAACGAATCGAGGGTGTTTTCCCACGTGAAGACGAAGTGTCAGGCAGAAACGCTGCATATGGAAAGTCAAAACGGAAAGGTGGAAAACGGATTATTAGCGAAGAGAGAAAGACGAGTAAGGAATCTAGAAAGCGTGCCAGGAAATCGCTAAATTTATATCAAAATACCGAAGCAGCTGTTCCTGAAATTGATGTGATGAGAGGCGAAAATTTATCTCGTGAGAATTCACACGAGGTGCCAAATTTATCGGATGTTAGCGGAATTTTCATGTCACCCATGAAACATTTAGAAAGGGAAACGGAAATGGATATTAACCATTGCGAAAGAGCTGCTATTGGCTCGGAGATTATTTCTAACAGTATTGATAATTCTTGGACAAATGAGAGATCTGTTATTGAGGAACCGGATGAATTATTGAGTCTTATGCAAGTTAATTTTTTAAATGAATTAATTAAATTAACTTTTTTTGTAAAAATTGGTAATTAATTCATCTCTATATGATATTAAATTCTAATATTTCGTTTTAAATTTGTCGGATTAATAAGTTTTATGCAATATCAATTGTTATTTTTTTCTTTTTTTTTTAAGAATAATTCTTTTAATTTTTATTAGTCAATCATGCATCGATTCCACTTATTTAGGTCAAGGTCAATATCAAATTATCGGCTCATACCCAAACTCAATACCAAAAATATAATATTATTATTTAAAAACGGTGTATCTCCAAGAGGAAACCTATAAAAACATATAGAAAATTTATTATATTTTATTTTTCTCAAATAGTGAAGGTCAACTGTTCAATCTTATCGGTCTTTGGGACCGGACCATTTGGCTGACCGCTCTGTTTTTAATTAATTATATTTCTGTTAAAAAAATATTTTTGATATCATCTTGAAAAATAAAATTTTTTAAAATGAAAATTACAAAATATTTACTCATAAAAGATATTTTTTACAAAATTTATTTGTCATTTTACAATAAATTTGAAAAATATTTTTAATTTATTTTAGGGTATTGGCTATAATGAAAAGTATAGGCCCATAGGGGAGTATCGATGCATTCCTGATTTTTATTTATTCATAATTTCATTCAAATCTTTTTATGTTTAGAGGATTAAAGGCAAAACCTTAAATATTGACAACACCGATTTGGGCACAAATGTTCCACGTAAAACTTTAACATGAAATGCTATATTATATTTATTTGTATATCACATAAAATTGTTACAAAATGAGATATTAATTAGCCAATAATTATTTTAATTTTATACATTTTATATAAAAATGATAAAGAAATGGACAGTAAATTATCCGGCGAATCCGAGACAAATGCTCATATCGAAAATGATGAACTAAATTTTTCTACTCAAAAAGGTGCTAAATTAAAAACGCGGAGGATCGATGTAACCGATCAAGTAATACGAGATTATATTAAGTACGATCCTATTGTGCATAGCCAAATATTATCATATCAGCCTATCCTTTTTGATACTCTCTTAAATGGGTTAAACAACCAATACCTGCCCAGTTTGACTCGCATTGAAGTTTCACCCCTTGCTTTGTCTCACGATAATTGTCAATCAATCCAAACTAATAAAAATAGCGTAATAAATAATTTAAAAAAATGCGAAGATCCTATTATTGGGCAATCAGATAGCAACAGAGAGTTTAGTTATATAGAAATTGATACAACATTACCTTTATCAAGTGATGACGTTAAACCCCCTTGCCCAAATATAACCGATAAAATAGATAATATTATTTACTCTTACAAAAAATGTCCCAAAAAAAGATTGGTAAAATTTTTGGATCTTCATTGCATAACGTTTCAGTTTAACCCATTGAATGCAGACTGGAATCATAAGGTCAGAAAACGAAAAAAACGTTGAAAATAAATTTTAATTAAAAAATTATATATCAATAAAATCAAATTATACCAATAAAAATTATAAATTATTTGTTTTTATTAATATTTTATAACTCATTACATTATATGAATTAAATGATATATTTTAAATTTACCTATTATTTTAAGAATTATATAACTTTTATATCAAATATTTTTAAAATATCCATTTTAATCATAATTATATTTATATTGTTTTAAAATAATATTGATTACAATAAAAAAGTTATAAAACAAAATATTTCCTTATTTATAATTCAATTAAAAATCGAAATATACATTCATACATTAAATATATCATGCTTTTAAAATTAACAACCTATACAACCGCTATAATAGGAGTTACAATAGTAAGTTTATAATGTATTAATTTGTTATAGAAATATTAAATACTTCATATACCTATTTTCTTTTGAAATTTTTATAAATTTTTTCCATCAATTTTTAAAAATGTTTTTATTATAAATATAACTAACTAACCTAAAGTTAAAATCATTGTGTTTTTAAAATATATAAGGCTAGATCTAGAAATAGAATGCTTTAATAGATTAGTCTGTGTTTTAAAAATAATTATGAATAATATTTTATTTTATAATGTTAGATCTAGAAATAAAGGTTTTAATAGATTAAGCTAAATATATAATGCTGTATTAATCTGGACATTTTATTAACTTGTAAGATAGAGTTATATAATTAATTTATTTTAATCAAAATTGATCAATATTTTTATGGTCACTACTAAAACTGTTTAGAAATATATGTACTATTTCTTTGTTATCACTTTAGTACAGTTAAATTTAAAAAACCCTGGTAAAAGTTATAATTTTACCCAAAATTTATAATTAAATTACCTTTCATTTAAATTTGACCTTTTATAAATAATATAAGTATTTTTATATTACATCTATAAAATATATATGTAGTATTTTTTTTTAATTTATGTTTTAGGTTTTTTAAAATTAGAATATTTTTTCTACAAAAATCTCTAGATTAAAATGATAAAATTCTAGTATCTTTTCCTCTTCGGGTACAATATAAATCCTTTAGTCTGATAATAGGGAAGGTTATTAATCATTGGAATCATTTCCCAGTTGTGACTTCAAAGATTTCTTATTAATTAAACTTTAATTAGTATCACAATTATTTTGATAATATTTACACATTGTTTTAGTTTTTATGAAATTTAAAAATATTTTCATTTTTTAGTGGTATTTTGGTTAAAAGTTACCAAAATGTCTCAAAAACAGTTTACTTATAAAAACTCTACAGTAAGGGCATGTTTAAAACAATTTTCTATTGGATCAACAATTGAAAGTTGCTATATTTCTTTTGAGGATATGACATAACCAAAGCATGAATATATAGATTATAAGATATTTATAATCTCAGAGTGGAGGCTTAGAATAAACTTAGAAAGTCAATTTCAATAAAATATTAAATATTTGCAAACCAACCAATTTTTCAGATCAATTTTAGACTTGATGAATTAAATATGGTTAGAGTTGGGCAAAATACTTTGAAAAAAACATGTTAACTACATAATAAAATCCTGTGCAAAATACAATGTGTTAAGCTAGTAGCCTAAATCTATATAAAATACTTAAATTAAATAGTTATTAGAACAGGATAATTTCTTTATTTCAATTTATATATATATGAATATTCATATTAAAAAAAAGCAAAAAATTTAACAATTATAATTTGTCCCTTTAATGATGATAATATTTTTGTAAATGTTTTGGATCCAAACACCATCTGTAAGCAGAGCCCTGCAAAGTAATATTAGTGTTACTTGTCCAACTTTTAAAAAATTTTGCTGTCCAACCCAAGCACAAATTTTTATTTCAGCCTCACTCAAGCCCAACCTGATTAAATATATTTTGGAATTCAAATTTAAAAGAAAATTTTTTTTAAATGATGTGTATTTATTCAAATATGGCAACCTGAAAGTATATTTAATCCCTAATATAGGCTATTATTAATTGTCAAATAAAGTTGCAAAACTGGGTATAAAACAATGATATTAAATAGAATTGGAATAAGAATAATTATGATATATAAATAATGAATCAAGTTTATCAGACTATCCTGAAACAAAATGATTATTGAGCATAATATTTAATTTTTGGGTTGGACCTCAGATTGGGCTACTTCTTACAGTTCAACGGCCTGAGTTGGGCAGCCCAGGCAGACCTTTATCTATGAGGGGTATTTATCACTGCAAATAAAATATTTTCCAAATCCACACCCCCCCCCCCCCCCCCCCACACCTTCGGATAAATTCTGGGCACCACTGATCACTTCTTTGATTCCCCATATCAGTTTATGAGTGGATTAGAAATTGTAGCTAAAAATGATGCATTACATTACATTCCAAGTACAACAATTTATATCTTTTCTCCAAACCAATTAACTTATAAATTAAGTAAAGGTCTTCATGCGATCCACTTTTGAGTAAAATACGTTTTTGCTGAACAATATTATTGGAACTATATTGCCATAAAATCCTTCCTTCTCCTAATTGTAATCTATTCAGAGAGCAATTGATTAAGGAGGCAATACTTGGAAATATTCTATAAAATTCAATCATTCTTTGTAAACTTGAAAGATTGGACTTTTCAAAAACCATGAGAAATAAAGTTTCTTGTTTTAGTATAATGGCCATTAGTGATGTAAAATCGCTTAATTTGAGACGATTTTTGAAAACGGCATACCGCTTACTCAATATTTAGCCAGAAAAATATTACCTAAGACACGAGATTTAGTCAATTGATGTCCAAATCTTCATGGCATCTGTGAGCAAAATCTTCAGGTATGCTCAATATTTTTCTGGATAAAATACCGATTTCGATGTTTTTAATAATCGACTCAAATAGAGCGATTTTGGTTCTATCTGTGTTTGATTACGCAATGCGTTTAAATACTAATTATCAAATTTTGCGTTTTTTTAAAATTATATTTAGGCCAATGAGCGATTAGATTCATATCTTATTTCTATATATGGTTAAACACATTGACTCCTCGCAACAATTTCCTATACATCTCATTTGAGATGTTCTTTTTTTATGCCAGAATTCATATCTATTGCATTTGCTACTTCGCTCCGAAATATTTAAATTTTAACGCTATATAATTCCGTCTATATAATTTTTTTTCTTTTTAGCTTTCACCTTTTCTAGTGGTAAGCTCCTTCAATACTCCATTTTATTTTATTCATACTATCACTTTTATCTAATTTATACTTCTTCATATTGGCTCTAACTTTATGGCCCATGGCCCCATTGAAGTTTTGGCCTTCGTCTTACGTTTACCCATCACTTCCAAACTCTCAACCTTATTTCCTATATAGTTCATAAGCCTTCTCATTGTGTGCCCATACCACCTAGGAATTCGGTACGAAACAGCGAAAATCAGAATAGCGAAAAATAAAAAAATGTTCCCATTATTTATTACTCCACTAAAAAAAGTCATAAATATAAATATCATATCTATTATTTAAATTTGAAAATATTAATACAATAGTAAATATTTAGTATATTTTTAATTAAATTATATATTATAAAATAATTTATAATATATAATTATTTAACCTAGAGCAATAAATATGTTAATAATTTTTCTGAAATATATTAAGTTATTGCCTAATCAGATTTATTCTTAAACCTTAAATATGGTATTAATGTATTTTCAATTTATAAATACTATATGTAAGTCATTAGAAAACTTTACCTCACTACTTTTTAAATTATAAAAATAATTTTATATGAATTTATAAGAGTAACTGAGTGTAACCTAATATAATAGAACTTTTAATATCTTAATGTAATTCAGAACAGGTTCTACTTTTTATAAAGTGTTTTTAGCCTTCTTTATATTATTAAATTATTTATCTTAAGTATTTATGGCATAGTCAAATTGAACTTTATAAATAATTTATTTAAAAAATCATACAAAATATAGATAGCATATATATCAAAATTTATAAATAATATGCGAAATAAAAGCGAATGGAATATTTACATTGGAATTGTACGCATGGATTTATTTTGATTAATGGTTTAAAGTTAATACATATATATTTTTAATAAAAAATAAAACGATAGCATTTATTTAAAAATTCACAAACACAAATAAAATTTGGATAAATAGCGAAATATATATAATGTTTATAAAAAATTCTAACATTTTAATTTAATAATTTTTGAAATCTCATCCAAAAATGTTAAAACATCTTGGGTTTCCTTCATAAATTTGGGTTAAATTTAGGATCTTTCGATCTTTTATTTCATACGCCTAATTAATTCGATTGACCGTTGACCCATTATTTATCTGAATGAGTTTTAGATCATTGCAATTTTGAAAATTTATTAAAATATTTATCAAGGTATAAATATTAGGATGGGCGTGTGATATTTTCCTATTAAGGGCATGATGGAACCCCTTTAAATGATTATTAGTGCGGGGTCCCGCTATTCTATACCTAAATTAAAAATATATAAATTAGATAAATAATTTAGCCTCTTTTATACCTTGACCATATTTTATAAGGAAATAGTGGTCTATCACCTAGCCAAGTTGTATCCATCTATTGCATAAAACTTAGCAAAATATCGTTAGCAGCCATTTGATAGCAAGCATCACGCACTATTGCCACATGTTGTTCCATAAGAATGGGAGGGTGCTCATTCTTCGGACTATTTTATGTACATCGGAAGGACCCATGTATGACCCTGATAATCCCAATGTTTGGCATTTGCGCCATAAAGCTTGTGAATAGTGAAAATAGCATCCTAAATATATGTATATAAAATTATTTTTAACTAAATGAACCTTTTATGGCCATTGTAGGAAATACATCCTTAAGAGCAGAAATGGCCGCAATTTTAAAATCTGTTTGAGCCATAGAAGGATTGAACCATATGCCATTGTCAGCACAATATCCTACAAGCACTCTCAATACCTTTGTGTATGTATCTTTATTTTTGTTTGGCAAAAGAGCATACACAATGGGTATCATCACCTTGTCATACATTACGTGAATACATAGAGCTGATAATATAAACTAGGAGCAAAATAAAATGTTCCGTCCATATATATACTATCAGCTCTCTCTGCTAACCGTAACATACACTCTGTCCCAAACATGATAATTTTGTTATTATCATTATATATTGAAAATTGCTCTCCCCGCTTTGTAAAGGTATATTCGGGGGTTAAATGAATATCCTCAACAGAATGGGGCAATATAGGGCGATATTTTTTTAGACTATCAATTGTGGTTTCGATAGAAACAAAAGGTGGAATAGCTTCTGGATATTCTGCAATATCCAAGCATTCTGAGCACCGAATCTCCATAGCATTTTCATATATGGCCTGGGCACGAAATACCGAAGACCGAAACAGCGAAAATCAGGGAACATTTTTAAAAATGTTCCCAAAAATGTTCCCAATATGGCGAAAATCTTTGATATGAGAAAAATGAAAATCTCAACTGTCTCGGAAATTTAAAAACAATTATTAGGCGTAGAGAATTAGATATTCAAGTAAATAAAATATTAATTAGATAATAACTTTTAATAAACTTTTATTTGTAAATAAAATATTTCTTGTTGAAAGTATAAATATTTTACCAATTGTTTTTAGTATGTTTAATGATTTTAGGTCCAAATTTAATTCAGCCTGTAGTAGAGGTTGATAATATATTAACAGGAGAAGCATCTGTTGAAGGTTAATATATGAAAATAATGTTTCTTTTTTTCAATACTTCAAATAAACATAATTGATAAATCTATTTTAGATGACGGTGATTTCCCAATAGATATAGCTAATGCTCTAATTGATTTACAACAATATAGTCATAGTAAAATAAAATATAATGACTAATTATTTTTTTTAATTATTAAGGTCCTCGTTTTATAAATAAACAAAAAGGAAAACCATTGTTATTTTATAACAATTTTTTGTATAGAATCGATCATCAACAGATTAGTTATTATCGGTGTCGAAATATTGGTTGCAAAGGGAGGTGCAAATTTGATGGGATATATACTATCACATATGGGCATTCTCATCAACATGAGGCATATATATTTGAAAAGCTTAGGACTAGAGAGGTGATTGAAACTGTAGTAGTTGAAAATCCACTCGAAACAAGATTGGTAATATATGAAAAGGCTATGGAGATTCGGTGCTCAGAATGCTTGGATATTGCAGAATATCCAGAAGCTATTCCACCTTTTGTTTCTATCAAAACCACAATTGATAGTCTAAACTAAAAAAATATCGCCCTATATTGCCCCATTCTGTTGAGGATATTCATTTAACCCCCGAATATACCTTTACAAAGCGGGGAGAGCAATTTTTAATATATAATGATAATAACAAAATTAACATGTTTGGGACAGAGTGTATGTTACGGTTAGAGCTGATAGTATATATATGGACGGAACATTTTATTTTGCTCCTAGTTTATATTATCAGCTCTATGTTATTCACGTAATGTATCACAAGGTGATGATACCCATTGTGTATGCTCTTTTGCCAAACAAAAATGAAGATACATACACAAAGGTATTGAGAGTGCTTGTAGGATATTGTGCTGACAATGGCATATGGTTCAATCCTTCTATGGCTCAAATAGATTTTGAAATTGCGGCCATTTCTGCTCTTAAGGATGTATTTCCTACAATGGCCATAAAAGGTTCATTTAGTTAAAAATAATTTTATATACATATATTTAGGATGCTATTTTCACTATTCACAAGCTTTATGGCGCAAATGCCAAACATTGGGATTATCAGGGTCATACATGGGTCCTTCCGATGTACATAAAATAGTCCGAAGAATGAGCACCCTCCCATTCTTATGGAACAACATGTGGCAATAGTGCGTGATGCTTGCTATCAAATGGCTGCTAACGATATTTTGCTAAGTTTTATGCAATAGATGGATACAACTTGGCTAGGTGATAGACCACTATTTCCTTATAAAATATGGTCAAGGTATAAAAGAGGCTAAATTATTTATCTAATTTATATATTTTTAATTTAGGTATAGAATAGCGGGACCCCGCACTAATAATCATTTAAAGGGGTTCCATCATGCCCTTAATAGGAAAATATCACACGCCCATCCTAATATTTATACCTTGATAAATATTTTAATAAATTTTCAAAATTGCAATGATCTAAAACTCATTCAGATAAATAATGGGTCAACGGTCAATCGAATTAATTAGGCGTATGAAATAAAAGATCGAAAGATCCTAAATTTAACCCAAATTTATGAAGGAAACCCAAGATGTTTTAACATTTTTGGATGAGATTTCAAAAATTATTAAATTAAAATGTTAGAATTTTTTATAAACATTATATATATTTCGCTATTTATCCAAATTTTATTTGTGTTTGTGAATTTTTAAATAAATGCTATCGTTTTATTTTTTATTAAAAATATATATGTATTACCTTTAAACCATTAATCAAAATAAATCCATGCGTACAATTCCAATGTAAATATTCCATTCGCTTTTATTTCGCATATTATTTATAAATTTTGATATATATGCTATCTATATTTTGTATGATTTTTTAAATAAATTATTTATAAAGTTCAATTTGACGATGCCATAAATACTTAAGATAAATAATTTAATTATATAAAGAAGGCTAAAAACACTTTATAAAAAGTAGAACCTAATCTGAATTACATTAAGATATTAAAAGTTCTATTATATTAGGTTACTCTCAGGTACTCTTATAAATTCATATAAAATTATTTTTATAATTTAAAAAGAAGTGAGGTAAAGTTTTCTAATTTATAAATTGAAAATACATTAATACCATATTTAAGGTTTAAGAATAAATCTGATTAGGCAATAACTTAATATATTTCAGAAAAATTATTAACATATTTATTGCTTTAGGTTAAATAATTTTATATATAAATAATTTTATAATATATAATTTAATTAAAACTATACTAAATATTTACTATTGTATTAATATTTTCAAATTTAAATAATAGATATGATATTTATATTTATGACTTTTTTTAGTGGAGTATAATGGGAACATTTTTTTATTTTTCGCTATTCTTATTTTCGCTGTTTCGTACCGAATTCCCACCTAGGTCTGTTTACACTACCTTTATACTTCCTAGTATTCTTGTACTTCGCACCTTATCCTTTCTTGTTATCCCAGCAATCTTCTCATCTCCATAGTTTGTAGACTTCTCTCGTCTGATTCTTTGGTTGGCCATGTTACCGAAATATATAGAGTAGTTGGTTGTATTATGGAACTGTAGATTTTTCCCTTCAATTGTGGAATTCTTTTGTCTAAGAGCACTCCAGAGATCCCACTTTAATCACCCTTGATTAATTTTACTCTTTATCTCTTTCTCTTTTGTGCCGTTTGTTTGTATAGTGGAGCCCAAATATTTACAGCTTTCAATTGCCGATATGCCATTCATTTATATCAATGCTCTCTGTTTCATCTCCCATCACCATATACTCCGTCTTTTCTCTGTTTCCGTGCTTTTCTAGGATATTTATACAACTCACTAATCGTTCTTCCATTTCATCCTTATATTCGGCAAATATCACAATATCATCTGCAAATATCATATTCCACGGGACTGTTTGCGGTATAAACTGTGATAATACATCTATTACTGTTATGAAGAGAAGTGGGCTGAGAGCCGACCCTTGATGAACTCCCTCGGCTATTGTGAAGCCTGTTGAAGTACCAGTTGTGCTACGCACCATTGTTATATGGCCCTTATACATATCCTGTATTATACTTATATATTTTCCGTGTACCTTTTTGTGGCGTAGCGCTCACCAGATAATTTTTCTTGGGAATCTTCGAAGGACTTTTTAAGAAAGACCACGTGTAGCTTTTTGTTCTTTTCCATGTATTTTTCGCTCATTTGCCCTATTGCGTGGATTTCATCAGTCGTTGATCTTCCAGGCATAAACTATATAATAGCTATGATTTAATCAGCATTATGCGATGATACCATTTGTGTCATCTAACGTGTATACGATATATATATAAGGTGATCAACGAGTTCATTATATCTATATCTGCCATACTTTTATTATAAATTGTAATTGCTGATGGACATGGAATTATAATGCCATTTTCTTCTTATCTAACCGTTCACAATATTCGACAAATTTTTTTGCCAAATCCATGTTTTTTAATACACCTTTGGAATCAAATGAGCCACTAAGATTAGAATCACAGGAATGCAATACATTTTGACTATATAAGGCTCTAATACGTTTTCTATTAATGTTTATAAATTGTTGTCAGCACGATACCATTTGAAATAGCGAAACACAAACGCTCAATTAGGTCCCACTATTATCCCTTAAAAAAATCATTAGGAAAAATCTAGTTATTTATGAAATTGCAATTATTCGAAAGTTATTAACTGTATTTCATAATTATGGTATTGATAGCTGTCTTATTTTTGACATTAAGCTGTAAAAAAACAAATTCAATTAATTTTGTGGTATGCGTCGTATTGTATATGTTATCAATGTGTTTTTTTCGGCAAAGTGTTATTTTTTCAACTTTAAGTCATTTTTTGAACGCGGAAATATATTCCATCATGTTTGGTATACCTATCTTATGAATTGTAGACAATTTTACTGTTAACCTTTGAGTATTTTATAATTTATATAAAAAATATATGGATAATTTAATATTCAATTATATTAAGTTCAAAAGTTCATAGCTATTTATAGGGTGGGTATTTGAAACACGACGCCATACATTTCTGGTAAAATCAGATTTTGAAATTTAAAAAAAAATGATTCAAGGTTTAAAAAATAACATTTGACGCTAACATTATTTACTAAAATAAAATTTGATATAGTGTGGAATAATAATGACTAATCTAAAAGCTAAAAAAAAATAAACTGCGATGTTCAAGCAACGATGTCGGAATAGGCAGAAAAATCTGGAATCTGATTAGTGATTATAAGCGCTGATGATGAGTTGTAAAATATTCAAATTCCGTTAAAAAAAATATAGAGTTTGAATAAAAATAATATATGCAAATTTTATTTGTAAAAATATTTTTTAGAAAGATTTTTACAAATTCCGTAAATATAATTCAATAATCACCCCCCCCCCCCCCACACCCCATTTTTATAAATATATTTTTTTAAAAAAAATGTATATCAATAAAAGTCGGTATTTATCTTAATTCGCCAATTCTTACTAAGTCGTAATAGAGACTATTGTTCATTTATTCTCAAAAATCTTCAATCATCTTCGGTCACCAGTGTCACTCGCTTATTGAGAGGCCGAACTGTTATCGTCACTGGTGCCAATTCTGGAATCGGTCGTAGTGCGGCCCTACAATTGGCCAAGCTGGGAGCGAGGGTCGTATTAGCCTGCAGAAATATGGATAAAGCCAACGAAGCTCGGGTCGAAATGATCCAAGAAATCAAAAAGGAACTCCTCGTTGCTCAAGATGCTCATGATGAACATTGTGATAATTCGAACCAAGTTACATTGAATGGAACTGTCGGATCGAGCATATTGGGCCAAAATGTGGCTCGCCCTAAAATCGTCGAATACCAGTCTGTGCCGGACTACCCTGAAATAGTTGTGAAAAGACTAGATTTATCCGATTTGGCTAGTGTCCGGAGTTTCGCTAAAGGCATTTTGGCCACCGAAGCTAGGTGCGATATATTGGTTAACAATGGAGGTCTCATGCACTCGAAATACTCTTGCACGGAACAAGGTGTTTTTAACAGAATTACTTAGGGGGGGAAAAAAAAACCTGCTTTAAAATAAACGAAAAACTTAATCTTTATTTTGATAAACTAAACTCGTCCAAAAAATAATATTATGCTCACTAGGTCATGAAAAACTATTCGGAACGAATCACCTGGGGCACTTCTACTTGACGCTGCTCCTACTTCCGCTCTTGCAGCGTACGGCCGAGGCCAATAAAAAGGATCACGTGCCTGAATCCGTCGATCGAAATTCGGAAAGGCCTCAGGAAATCGACGAGGGATTGAGACAGAGATCGACTACCGATAGTAGCCCACTTGATTCCCATCCCAGCGAGGGTATTCGCGAATTTTTTTTTGTACCAACAATTAATGCTCCGAGAGTTTGGCGATATTTTATTTTATCAATGACAAAATGGTTCAAACCGATAAATTAATATTACGCTTTTGAGGTTTAATTTAAATTATTAAGGTGTATTTATATTGGAGTTTAGAATCTCGAACCTGGAACCCTTCAGAAACGGTTATACCTTAAAATTTAATGCGTACTAAAACCTCTGTTTATAATTAACTTTCTTTATCGCTAACCAAATTGGAAAGTCTGGCCAGAAGCCTATCTTTCGTAATGTTAGACCATTCTATCTAAAATAACATTTTTTTCTATTTAATAGTGCGCGGTAAATTTGAGCGTTCGCGTTGCCTTAAATTTTTACTTGTTTAAATCGAGGTTACCTTTATATATATATATATATATATGTATTAATATCATCGATAAAAGGATTATGTCTTCGAAAATGTAATGTTATCGTCTGCCTTTTCATTTCTTTAGTTTCGAAATATTCCATATTTAGAAAATAAGTAAGTTAATTTTTTTTTTATATAATATTACAAAATGAAGAATAAAAAGGAATCGATAAAAGATAGCCCAAACGGTAATTTTACCAATTTGCACGATGCCATTCGATCAGCTGGGAACGCTCATTTAGGGCCCACCATTTTGTTTTAACTCCGTCTATCTCATAAATGTTTTGATTATAGTTAAAAATTTCAATTTCGAACGAAATACCCGATGTTATTGTGAACTATATATATATATATCTATTAAGGTTAATAAAAGTTATAACTGTTATCCTAAAATCGGTTATTACCAGAGTTGTTAAAGGATCTAGATCCTGTATCTAGATATAAAAATGTGGTATCTGTATCTAGATAGATTTTTGATTAAGATATCGGTATCAAGATATTATTTTAGACGATGTATCTGTATCTAGATCCATTTAAAAAGTATCTTTTAACAACTCTGGTTATTACATATTCGTTAACATTTGCCGTCAGTTAACTAAATATAGAATTTTCGTGGAGGTTTTAACCGGAACGAGGTTACAATTGGTTTATTATATATTTTGATACATTTTAGAGGGTTTATTTGTTTAAATCTCATTGCTATGACAAGAGTCTGAAACCATGGTTCAAATTTCAGGAACAGGAATTAAAACTTTCCTTTTAAAAATATATTCAGAACAGAACCCTCAACCAATACCAGTTAACCCTTTTTGTTCCAGGTTCAAAACTCCGATTTATGTATCGTCTAACTTAAACTCTTTATAATAAACTTTGTCGAAAACTATTTGCCTCATTTTTTTTAAATGAAGATAATCGTCGTATAGTAAAAAAAATGTTTGCAATAATTAGAATGATGATTATTCCATTTCAACTGTGATCTTGAATTTTTAGATTGAAAATCGTAAATTAATTATGAACTAGATAAAATCGTGTTCAAACCGGAAATGGAAGGAGAGAATAAGTCGACGAGGGACTTGGGGATGGAAATCTCGAACAATACCTGTTCGCGTATAGTGGTCGTGGCGTCAGCAATGCACAAATACGGAAAACTGGATTTTGACGATATCAATTTAACGAAGGGAGGTTACAATTATTGGAAAGTTTATTCTGCTAGCAAGCTGGCCAATATACTCTTCACTAACGAATTGGCATGGCGTCTCAAGACGGGTAATCTTTTTTTACAATTAATGACCGAACAACGGCGACCTTGTGGGTGGGCCCTTGATTTAGGAGGGTAAGGAGTTGAGCCCGAAGCGTTATTGCTAAGCCAACTCTTCATGTTTATTTAATTTTAAAACCCTCTATGTTTATACAAAAGATGTCATCATTAAATCAGCTGTCACATAATTAGCATTTTTTTCTCCGCTAATTGATAATTGTTTTCATATCGAACTAATCACATAAATTTTTGGTTTATTATGCAAAAACAAATATTTATTGTATTTTTGCCCTTTGTTTTTTTAAAACAAGTTTCACTTTTTTTTCTACAAAATAAGTGAATTACGCGAAAAATTGATCAAAAATCTTGTTTGTCCGAAATTAATCTTCAAATTCATCATTTAAGGTTTTTTTTTTAAAACCCTTTATTCAAAATGATATATTTTAGGTTTAAAATGATATTCACTCAATTTAAAATCTATAATAACAATGATCTTATTTTATTTGTTTTGCAAAAAGGAGAGGGTTTGGAAGACTATCTGCCAAATCCCGCCCAAAAAAACGCCGACTCTGGATGTATAACGGTCAATTCCTTACATCCTGGTATAGTGGTAACCGGCATGAATCGAAACATAGATACCTTCGATATCGGGAAATGGTTGTTCAACAAATTTGGAACGATCGTTTTCAAAAACCCTTATCAAGTAATTTATTTTCGAAATTTAAATAATTTGCCGATTTCAAATTTTAAACAAATTATTAATTTTTTTTTTTTACTGATGTTATTATACTATTTTCAGGGTTTGGGAATTTAAAAAAATATATATTCGAATATAAATACTAATATACACTTTTTTTTAAAAAAAGAACGTTTACAAAAAAAATGTATTTTTAAAAATAATACATATCAAATACTTTCTAAAATATTAATAAATACCAGAGACCTGCAGGTTCGGTTCGGGTACACGGACTGTGCCATATTTTAATTTTTAAAAAAATCCCGGCTGGGCCTGGTCTGAAATAAAATAAAGCCCGGGCTGGGCCTAATCTGGGTTGGGCCTTGCAAATGGTACTTCTGCAGGTCTCTGATAAATTTTAAATTAAATAAGTATTTAGTATTTTAAATACAAGTAATTCGCGTTACTGCCTAACCCTGATTATATTACATTTACCTTAGGTCCTTACTGTTACTTTTCATTAGCTCTAATCAATTTTTTGATGTAACTGCCCAACAAACAACTTAGGGCACCTACATGATAAAGGTTAAAAGCTAACGAAAAAAAACAGTTTTTGGATGAGTGTGTTTGTGTAGTAAAGGTCTGCTATGCACGGGTTGAAGAAATATTTAAGCATTGGAAGGGCGGGTTAAAAATATCTTTAAAAAAATGGACGGGTGGGTAAATTTACAAGTCTATACAAATATTTAGTAAAAATATTGCTGCTTCATGATAAGCTTAATTATCCATATTTTGGTAGAAATTGAGTTAAGGCCGAAATATAATTTTTAGTGGTCTCCTCCAAATCCTTTACTTTTCAAAAAATAACCCTCAAATTTAATTTTTGATTCTAGTTTTTTTATGCAATAAAGTAAAGTTCAAATGTTTTTAAAGTTCAATTTGTTTAAAACCAATCATAATCATTATTTGTATCATGTGATAATCAAGAATATTTTATTTTTCAAAAAACATGTTTTTTTTTTGAAAAAATTTATAAAAGAAATTCAAGCTACAATAATGAAGACTATAAATAAAACGCTTGAAAGTTTTGCCAGTAGTTAGTGCTTAAGATAAGAGCAACTAAATTCCTAGTGAGTAAAGAATGTAATATAAAAATAGGCCTTAAACTTTTTCACATAAATTTAATGAATGTTTTGAACACAAATTTTGTTTCTATTTTTTAAAAAAAAATACTTTTTATTTTTGAAATTCATTTCTCCAGTTCTAGTACTAAGATTTATTTCTTAATTTTTACCCACTCTGGTCTCATATTCTTCTTCTTTTACCTGAACTTCATTTCCTTATCAATATTAATTTTTATCTTTACGACCCCTCACCCATTCCCCCTCTCCCACTGCCACCCCCCTCACTCTCCCGTCCAAAAAAACTTAATTATACTTCTTTGCCCCCCCCTCTCACTTTCATTCATTTTAAAATATTTCTCTTCTCTTTTCACCTAATATTTACTTCCCTTTAAATAGAAACCTACCTGCAAGAAGTACTATTCTAGGATTCTTTTTTTCAAAAATTTTTTTCGGTCCAACCCGGATTTTACATTTGTAGGCACCCCAGCACAGATTTTTTTAAAATATATATTTTTTTTGTTTTTAATTTTTTTATAGCTAATAATGGCAATTTAAAATATCCAGGCCGGGTATTTTTTTAAAAAATTTTTTTTAGTGGCCCTGATATAATTTAAAAAAATTAAAATACAACCGCCAGGTCTGCACTGTTTTAAATAATTTATTTTACCGTATTCCCTAGGCCATTATACCCCGGACCCACTCCGGAATTCACATACCGCCCTTATACTTTATCCTCACCTTCATATATCTTGACATCTTATCCTCTCCCATAAATCTAACATTTAAATCAGAATACCTACCCATTGCACTTGAATATTGAAAAAAAAATTTAATTTAAGGTTTATGATATTTTTTAGCTATTTATAGTCAGCCTCGTGGAGATACAACCTAAAACAAAATGTCTCCCGAAAAATTGATGTGATTGGAGGTAGAACCCTATAATAATCAAAAATTGGCAAACAAGCTAATCATAATTTATAAACGTTGGGTTGGCAGGTATTGAACCATGGGGCTCGTGGGTAGATTTGTTTAAAGGGCCGATTGATTGGCATATTAATCATGCGCACATTGTTTTATTACAATTATTTAATTTTGACGACCTTGGCAAATATAAAAAACATATCTATCATTATATTATTTAATAATGACTATTTTTTTATTTCAGGGTTCTCAGACGACCATGTACTGCGCACTGGCTCCCGAATTAGAAGGGGTGAGCGGAAAATATTTCGGGGATTGTGAAGAACACTTTAGTTCTCCTAAATCGCACGATTCCAAAATGGCGAAATTATTATGGGATTACAGTATGGATTGCGTGAGGAAATTCGAAAAGGAGAATTCTTAATAAAAAAAAAAAATAAATTTCACATTTTCGTTTTTAATCTTATTTTTTTTAATTTTTTTTTTTAGAAAATTGTGATTATTATATTTATCATATAACGAATGTTATTATATATGATAGAGTATCTTTTTTTTGTTAACTTTTACCCTGCAATCACTTTAGCGGCGAATTATACAAATCGCGCTAACTGTGAATGGCGTAGTTACTTTTTTTGGAAAGGGGTAAGGTATTGAAAAAGTAACTGTCTTGTAAATAAATATAATTTTGTACAGCAGTATTTTTGATACTCTTTATCTATTTTAGTGTTGTTAAACGGCTCATTTTGAACCGATTTTTAAAAACGTCTAACTCAATATTTTAGCCTAAAAAATAAAGCCTAAGCCTTGAGATTTCGCGAATAGATGTCCAAACCTTTGTTCCTTCTACAAACAAAATTTTCAGGCTTGAGTTAAATTATTCTGGATGAAATAGTGAGTTAGTCGTTTTTAAAAATCGGCTCAAAACGAGCCGTTTAACAACACTAATCTATTTACAAAAAGTATATAAAAAAAATCTTAACATCTGGACTAAAAGTAGTGTTTAAACGCCTTGGTTTCGCCAATTTGGAACTTAAATTTTTTTAGACAAAATAATATTGCGCGCCTCTTGAGGTTCGGAAATGTCCAAACCTTTCTATGAAAAAAATCTTCAGGCTGGCTTAATTTTTTTTTTTTGGCTACCATATTGAGTAGGTCGTTTTTAAGAAATCGAGTTTAACAATTGAAAGACAAATCAAAAATAACAGAGTTGTTGAAAGATACTTTTTAAATGGATCTAGATACAGATACATCCTCTAAAATAATATCTAGATACTGATATTTTAATAAAAAATCTATCTAGATACAGATACACATTTTTATATCTATATACTACAGTATCTAGATACTTGTATCTAGATCCTTTAACAACTCTGAAAAATAATAATTTTTTTTATTTAACCAATTTAACCAAAGCATTCCTCCGTATATATTGATATGTCACTTGTTTATACGCTGAAAAAATTTTTTGATTTTTTTTCCTCTTATAAAACCTTGGTGAGCTAAATTTTTATAAAACACTTTTTTTTTGCTCTTTTACAATTATGATACACAACACATATATTTATAATTTGAAAATTATTTTTTAAAACGAAATATTTATAAAATTATAATTGTTGTAATTAGGTTTTTAAATACCAAATAAAATTTTTTATATTAATTCGTTTTTTTTTTGAATATATATTTAAAATTACTCGAATTGCGAAGGTTATAGAGCGAAATCATTTTTTTTATAATTAACAATGTTCGAGGAAAGTTAAAGAAAGAGCCTATTGGCCATATCAGCATTAACGTTTACTAGTCATTGTAGAAAATAATTAAACAGTTTAAATATAATATATATATTCATCTATTACTTTAAAATATGTAAAACATTCGGAATCAATACAACCAGTAGGTGATAAAATGCTCAAAAATTTAAATTTTTTGAGTAAGTTGCAACTCAATTTTTAGCTTGCTCTTTTTTATTGCTCAAACATTAGAACACTATGGGCTAAACCTAAGGTGTCTGACACCATAGAAAAGGCAAACCCCTAAAAATATGGGAGATTTAAGATTGCTCAAATTGAAAATGACATTTTCGATATCCTTTAATATAAAGGGAGAATATGGGTGTGGGTGGGGGGGGGGTGATAGGAAATTCTGACCTCATATGAATGATAGCAGGAATTCGGAAAATTATTCCTAACCCTGCTGCGATATTGTTTTTTTATGGTTTTTAAACTAAGACTATGATCTAATAAGTCACCACTATCACTCTCTTTGTTTTCCTATGGGGCATCGTTTCCTTCTCTGAGTTCCGAAAAATTGTGATACGTATCAGTTTACTGTTTCAATGGGTGGAGAGAGTTAGAAATAATAGGAGTGTTTTATAAGATAGACTAAGAGCTTTGGTTCTTAAAGGTTTAATATACTTCTTCAATCTTGATCTCTATGAAGATTATGCTTCCCAGTATGCAAGAACATAAAACATTTTTATATATATTGTAATGACTTCCTTTTCTGGGTCGATCCCAATATTTTTAAAATAAATTCGGCTGGCTTTAATTTTTAAAATAAATTGATATTTTTTGTAAGAAACAAGGAGCCAGTATTTTATTTTTTTTTTACTTAAAAATTATAATTTTATTTATTAGTAAAAACTAGGCGCCATATATCTTTCACTTTGGGTATTAAAATAAAAATCTTAAAAATTTTTTTACAATCTTTTATATTTAGATTTATAAAAACATTTGGTTCAACATTAAAAAACGATTATTGGAGTGGGATATAGCGAATAATTTTGATGATAAATTTCAAAAACTCGATTATGTTCAATGTAAACCTATATTGCAATATGAAATTCTATGGTTAGTTATTTTCATTTAAAATGTCACAACCAGAGATTGAACACACCCGATTTTTTGGTGAACATGAACCCTCTTTAATAAACCGAACCTAAAAATTGTATAAAAAGGCTCAGTTCGGGTTTAATAAGTTTTAAAATATTGTATTTTTAATTTTATTAATATGGTTTTAATTTGTTCAAATTAAAAATTATACGTTTAAACGCCTATTGGATTTTTAAAAAATTTCATTCTATTTTAGCATATATTTCCTACGAATCCTCAAGCTAGAATATGAAAAATATTTTATTTGAAAATGATTAAAACTTTTTAGAATTTGAAACTACATTCTACTATTTTTCGTTTTTCGATGTGCTGCTCACACTCCATGAAGATGCATTTAAGGGAGATGACAATTCCTGTCATATTAACATGTTAATTAATATTAAAAAAAAAACTAGAAACACTTACAGTTTTAAAGTTTACAAAAAGTTACGTTTTTATTAAGAACCAATCCTGGATTGTCATAGGTGAAATTATACTTATGATATGCTAAAAGGGCTTATTAAGAAAAGAAGGAAAGATTCTTCCTTTCTTTCGTTCTTTCCATCTTTATATATTAATATTTAACAATTAAGAAATGGAGTGAATTAGATGATAATATGAAAGATACTGAAACCACTAAAAGTAGCAATAAAGATTGCAGAGCCAGCAATTAACATTGAGTAGTTATTATGCTACATGGCTAATATGTCTCCGGTTTATATATTTATTTTTTATAATTCACATTAATTTAAAATTCTGTATTAGAAATTGTTTGGAGATTGGGACTATCGACACTCCTCTTGGCAATCTATTAGTAACTAGGATAAAATTATGGAAACGTTACTATCTTAAAAATGATGTAAACCTTTCTGCCTTCTATTTGGATTTTAGATACAAAATTTTATAATATCAGAAAAGACATTTTTTGACAAAATGGCATTTAATAAATTTATGGTTGAAAAATATAAAACTACTTGAAAAAATAACAAATGTCTTTTTATTCAATTACTATAAAATTTATATATTTTTTTAAAATAAGTAATTACCAATTATTTTTAATCTAATCGGTAAAAAAAAAATATATAAACATTTCAATTTTAACAAACAATTTATGTTTAAAAAACAAAAATAAATTGATATTTTTAGGCACAACGTTTATTAAAATTATAGATGATGAAATCAGTGTTGATGCCGACATGCCATGCCTAATGATAAACTAGAAAGTTGTCGAGGGAGAAAGAACGTAAAAATTCAGGGTTGATTAGTCAACAAAATGATGAAAGAAACATTGGAACTTTATTTACATGTTTCTTAGGCTAGATAAATTTGCTTCAATATAATAATCTATGTTTGCCCTCTATTTGGCATTTTAGATCAAGGTAGAATTTTCTAAGACCTGGATATTTATACTTCAATATTGGAAAGAATTATGAAAGCCCAGCTTGAAATTGTTAAACTTTTTCAAGTGTTCATGGTAGTTTGAGTCAGACAGCTTGGAATAGCATTTTATTCAAATTTTATTATCATCATATAGATCTAGAATAAATAACAATTTATCAGAAGATATATAACTTAAATCTTGAATACAGTTTTTATAAACTATTGCCATATTTTTATTTTGTTATATATTCATATATTATAAATTAATACTCCTATACTATTCATTCTCAAACTATATAATAAAATTTGAATAAGGATAATATTTTGAATTTTTACAATTAATTGCTGATTTCTTTAAAATATGTTTGAAACGTTATATATGATTCATTACGAAAAAAACCGTCAAAACGGATTTTTAATAAAAAATTGAAACCGAACCAACAGGAACCCGGTTTTTACAAAACCGGAACCTTTTAAAAATTTCGATTTGAACCCAGGCGGTAAATTTTAAAAAAAGTTTAAATCCCTGGCCACAATCACAAGTCGTTGACTCAATGACAATTCCTTTATTTCTAAATTTATTTATTATATTTGGTAAGAAAAGCTAAAATAGAATTATTTTTTGTGTTAAATTACATTTTTGGAAAAAAATTAACTAGTTACATTTGAACTGTAGTTAGTTATATCTTTTTATATATATAACTGCCAAAAGTAAAAAGTTACTTTTTAAAATATTCAGATATATTATTATAAATATATTCAAATAATTGATTATATTTTTAATATGTTATATTACAATGAATTACTTTAAAGTAAACTTATTAATTCAAAATTTTTGATTAAATATCTGATTCTGTACCCTGCTACACGCCTATGTACAGAATTTAATATGAATTCTGAACTTTGACTCGTCATTTAATGTGGATGACATTCAAATAATTCAGAATGATGAAAAATTGTGCCATTCCTTTCTACAAGTATTACCAAAACAACAGACTTAAATGTTAAAATACTTTGGCCAAGCCTCAAAATGTATTTTGGATTTCACATAGAGATGGCTAGTAGTACAGACAACATTCGTGTTAAGTGTCTCCTATGTAGCATTGTTAAAGCCCGATTTGGGTTGAGTTTCAAAAAGGCCCAATAAAGATTTTAGCCGAAATAATATTATGAAGCCTGGAGATTTTGTTCTTAGATAGCAGAAAGGTTTGAACCTCTATTTTCCAAATCTTGAGGCTTTTCTGTTAAAATCTTAATCGCGTCGTTTTCAAAAATCGTGCTGTTTAACAAAACTACTCCTATGCCTTCCAAAAAAATAACATTTTAGCTTCTAAGTCATCCGCAGTCAAGCTATGGGAACACACTGTAAGATTATTTTCACATAATTTGTCAATAATTGTTCTAAATTTTTGTTATAGATGTACATGCAACAAGATCTTTGTTTAGCTAAATATTATTCAAAATTAGCAATTAAACCTTCCTATGCCCAGAATATGTTCTTGTAATACATTAAACTTGGTAGAAACACAAGATGTCAACAAGATCTTTTTAGAGAATGGTCATTTAAGAAAGCATAAAACACATTGCCGTATCAAAATGCCACCCTTTTTTGGAAGTCACAAAATAAATCTGGGCCATC